GGGGGGGGGTTATAAGAGAGACAAGAGAGAAGAAAGAGAGAGCAATGTAGTCTATGCTACCGCATCCCCGATAGGCACAACGCCGTCGATAAATCCTTCTTGCGTCTCGTTCGAGAGTTCTTCCAATGTCTGCTGCTTCGTCTCTTTGATGAGGAGAGTCGAGAAACAGCCTGTCAACATAAAGAAGGCCAAGATCTCCAGGCTATACAAAAGATTGCAGTCAGTATCATGTCAACGAGTTCTTGTCGCCGCACATACATGTGACCCAAGAACTTGTTGGTACCACCAATATTCGAGAGCTGGGCAAAGCCGACTTGGGAGACGACTGCACCAACCTTGCCGCTTGCCGCAGCGATACCGTGACTCGTCGAACGATAACGAGTGGGGAACGCCTCCCCAGGAATAACGAACGTCGTGACGTTGGGGCCAAAGTTTTCGAAGAAGTACGCGAGACAGTAGAGGAACACGAATGCCTTGCGCGCCGCAGGTGTCTTGTTGAGCGCATCGTAGCCAAAGCCCATGATGATGAACAAAATCGTGAGCATGATGAAGCCCATGAGCTGAAGCGGTTTGCGGCCCCACTTGTCGATGACGAAGAACGACGCCCAGTAACCGGGAATGTAGCCTGCGACGGAGAGAATGATGTTGCCGATGCAAACGTTTTTGAGATTTGTGTACACTTTGAGCGTGCCGGTGAGATCGGCGCTGGGTGAACCGAAACCTATGGCAGTGAGAATGATCGACGAGTTAAGACCAAGGCCGTAGAAGGCAATCTGCGAAGGCGAAGGTTAGTGACACATCACACAAAATGCATGAAATACGTACATCCAGAGCGAACCACGAGTAAGCACAACCGAGAAGGAGCTTGAAGTTCTCCCACTTTGAGTAGTACTGGCGGAAGTCACTCCATGTCGCCTTGGGCGCTTGCACACGCTGAACGACAGCATCAGGGTCCACGTAGTATGAACCAGTAGTAAGGAAGTTGTCGACATCCTGAGCAGCTTGCTTGACATTGCGCTCAACATCCATTGTGAAACGGGGAGTCTCCGGGATTGTAAGTCGGAAGTAGAGAGCGATCACACCGGGAACGCAACCAAGACCAATGAGAATACGCCACATCTGGTCAATGCATGCCATATCGTCGGAATTCTCGTGGAGCAAGGTGCTCTTGTAGGAAACGACGATGATATAGGCTACAATGCAGCCCGCTATTTATCAATGTCGGATGAGAATAATCAAATGCTAAAGTTAATTACGGGCGCTTACCGAGCTGACCCCATCCCTGGTTCGCAAAAACAGCAGTCATAAGCCGACCACGGCTCATCGTCGATGCGAATTCAGAGGATATGACTGCACTCAAAGGATAATCTCCTCCTATTCCCACGCCCATCTAATCCACATTGTTAGGCTAGATATATAAAGCATTGAGAAGAGAAAAGGACTCACGATGAACCGCCACGCGATGATGACGCCGAGGACGTTGACTGCATGAGCCTGGCCTGCAACAGCTTGACCGAACGTCGCAACGATAATGATCATCAATTCAACACCGTCTTCGAATGGATCAACTTCGTAAGTGACTACAATTTGATCGCGACGAACGCATATACTCACACATGCGCTTACGACCGACGAGATCTGCCAACCAACCGAAAAAGAATTGACCAAAGACATTGCCAACCGGGGTAGCGACCTTGACACCCAAACTCTGATTTGAGTTGAGACTTCCACCTGGTCAAAGAATGTCAACATCAGGGGGGGGGTGAACGTAAAAATTACTCTTGACTTACCCTTGCCATAGACGTATCCCAACATCGTCGCAGCAATGTTGATGGCGAAGATATCGTATCTATGGCAAAAGGTCAGTTACTGACTGGAGATGGAGCAATGACGGGACTCACGCGTCAGTGAAAAACCCGACTCCTGCGACAAGGGAGACTTTGATATGGAACCATCTTTCAACAGGAGAAATGAGCTATTTTCCTCTTCATCTCGTCCGCATTTAATGAGACTCACCCGAACTTGGCGTTGTCGACCTCTGCAAGTGCCACGCGCCGCTTTTCGTCCAGGGCATAGGTCAAGCTAGTAACATTCCGACCCTTCTCCATATGAGGGTCAGAGGAACCGCTGGTAGAAATTTTTTCAACTTCTGCGGACATCTCGCCAACAGTCGGGTGCGACGCGAGCGAAGGGGGGTCGGGCGGGAGGGGCTCGGAGGTACCTGGAGGGACGGGGGGAAGACCGATAGCGCTGCTTGTCTTTTAAGCCAAGGACGAGCATATCGGCAAGAAGTGTTCCGGGGCGTGATGGTAAAGGAAATGGGTGGGACTCGTCTTTTGCACCATGCTCTTTGCGGCGACCATGTTCCTTGCACGTTCGTAGTCCCCAGCCAATCGCAGCGCCCTATTTTGTGGTGGCGTGCTTGTCCGCCTTCCTAATCTGGCTCGAGCGGCAACCGTGCAGCGCTGCGCCGGGGCACGTTCTTCAGCGTCCGCCCTCTCCTCCCGACTCACTGCCCGCCGTCGACGAGTCCCCTCCGACACGGCAAAACATACATTGCTGTCTCTGATTCCAGATAAAATCCCATCCCCTTCCCTTCCGCACGACCCTCAGCCTTGCCTCAATTTCGCAGTAGGTCCTACTAATTCTGTGGTTGACTGAACCTTACGAAGCGCGCCGCATGCGACTTCCGCCAGCTATCTGGGTCTCTATTCAAATCTTCCGGCCTGCCCCATGTGCACACTGCATATGCTCTCGATGCCGCGCACAAATTGCGTTGGTCGTTCCTGAAAGCGGATCCTGCATGTCTCCAGCACTTTCAACCCCGCGAATAGATCTAACTTGTCTCGAGTCGCGTGTCGACTGCCCCAGTGCACCACGTTCTTCTGCACGTGTCACCTTTATGAGAAGCAAGATGGTTCATCGTTCACACAGCATTGTCGAACACCGTTCAAGGCTTTCTAGACCATAGTTTTAGTATCGCATTCGAAGCAAAGTTGATGACTGGTTACTTCGTGCTCCGGATTCATCGTCGGATCAAATTTTTAGCTTATGTTGCCTGTAGACGTCTTTCATCGCGAGGGCCAAAAGCTTTCCGCTCACCTAGAGGCTCCGCTATAACTTTCCCTGAGTTTGCCTCCGTCTAAAAATGTTCAAGGTCTGACAGGCATCGAGCACGCCATACGTAACAGTAGTTCGTGGCCATTTGTGAGTGTGTTTTCCTTTGACGATACTATCTATCGCTTCATCTTCGTTCTTGCCCAGTCCCATCCGTCCACATACAAGGCCGCAGCTTTGTGGAGCTTGTTGCGAAGCTTGCCGTATCCTACTAATACCACAGGTTTGACGCTGATTGTTGCATCCGCTTTGATGGACAAATTTCGCTTAATCATATTGCATGATGCAGCGGTTTGACAGCGGCTCGCGGAACACCACTTCATCTGGGTCCCGTCAGTGGTTAGTGTCCTACCCAGATGCACTGAACACAATTATCCGTTTATGTACAAAACCGGAGCGAAGCAGGTACGACTTGAACTCAACCCTAGGCCCCACTCATTATTGCTCGCACATATAAACGAACGTGCACGATGTGATGCAGTAACGTCTGGACTGCCTCTCGACGGAGCGGCACATCTTGATATTTCCAATGATACATTTCTTGAATGGATGTGGATGGCCGGCGGTCTGTCGGCATGAACCTGCCGCTCAAGCCACCCAATGTTCCCGGATCCGAGCAGCGTTGATCGTCCCTATGCAAGTGACCCTTTTTGGTCCATGTTGTTTGGCTTCTCGCCGGTGTCCTGGTGTGTGAAAATTACACTGGTGCACTGCTCAGCACAGCGAACATTTATACGCCCACTTACATGCTGACAATGCCAGGTATGCTTCTCAAATGATGAATGAAGAATTTTCTGATGATGTTGGGATACGTGCGTTTGCGCAGCAGTGCAAACTCTGCAAACGCTATTCAACACAACTATTCGGTAATTGTAGTTTACATCTCTTACTACTTATCTCGTCGTATGATCGGTCTTCTATCGCTCAAATTTCTTATAAAATATTCCAACTAATAAACACCCTACTTGCTTCATGCAGAGGGCGTGCGATCAGGCGGCGGTGCGATTTATTCATGAAAGGAGGAGGGAGCATATCTACCATTGTCTAATTGCTACATTGTTACAGTGTTTCTCACAGATGGCCAAGCCTCGACATAGTTGTCCTAGACTGGTTAGCAAGAAGTGCGATTCCTGCGGCTCTCCGTGTCATACATCTGTGAGCGTTCGTCCCTTAACAAACTGCCAACGCACATCGAACCAGTGTAGTGAGTAATGAGTTTTTCATCTTCTCCCACAAGAGTGACACGGTGCCGAGCTTGTCTGAACTTCCGCTGTGGCGAGGTAGGTGTGGATAAATGCTTTTTGACGCCAGCAATCTGTGACCTATCGTAAGTAAAGAGTGGCACATCTGCATTTACGCTCTCCGCATTTTCCGTTGTGTTGTCGCCGCATACGGTGAGTCGTTCCTTCATCTGGTATTTACGGGATTGATATATCGCTCTGATGGTTCGTGTGGCGTCAGTTAGCATCTATGTAGCTGGTTGTAGAACTCCCCTCTACCTTACCAAGTTCCCCCATCCCGTTTGTGAGGTGATTACGACCACGTTCGTTTCGTCTCGATGCCCGAAACAAATCTTTCTGTCATGATATTTCGTCTGAGGTGAGTTCAAGTTCCGACTTGTTTAATCACGCGTTTTTCAGAATGGGTATTGATCCATGCCTTCTCACATCTAAAACGTCAGCCGTCCCCTAGGCAGTATGAGTCAATCAAGCCCATGGGCAGTTTCGCAGCTTCTCAACCTCCATTCTGCAAATGTGAGGCAAGGGGTTTGTCTCAGTATGTTCACCCTGTGTTCGTGGCAATGTCGTCTGGCTACCTTCGTCGGATCGATCATGACAACCACTTGGTGGCCACTGGTGCTTGGCCGTCGGCCAGCTTTCATTCGATAGCAACAGGAAGTTCAACGATCTATACCAGGATCCTTTTTTTCAGATTTTTCATTTGTCTAGAAACTCGCCTCTATAAATAATAAGATTCGCTTACTTATATGTCCCTGGAGCCCCACTTTCGATGCTTTCCGTCGCCTTGGTGTGAACTGAAAGTGGTACGTAACCCTCTTTTTCATTGCATCTGTCAACCTTAAGTCATTTACGATGTCTTTCGTAATCCTATCCGATAGGCCAGAAGGGAATGTTCCGTCGGCTCTCCGGCAACTGTGCAAGCATCACTACACGAGCAGCGACATGCTCATTTAGGGAGCAGAAAGAGTGTTGAAATCATACTCGCGCTCCATTGCGAAAGCAACAGGTAAAAACCGATTGCACAGGGCCTCTTAGATGCCTGAAAGTTGGTCAACCGTGCCTGTTTCGGTCAGCGCAGAGCTCTCGGCGCAGAGCCAGGTGACGATGCCACGATCAAGCACCTGTGCCGGGTGGCGGGCCTGGACCATCGCGATTGAGATGTTCTCCTGGCGTAGACATTGATCATGAGCAGTGTCCGCCTTTGTTTTTGCAACTCTAGCGTACACCTCCGTCGCTGCGTCATCTATATTCAAGTTCCCGAAGCCCACCAAACCCAATCCCTCGTAGAACATGTGCATAGGGTGGACGTGTATTGTTAGTCAGGTCTGCCGATTCTTTACCGTGTTTTGATGTTTTTCCCTCGCAGCGCACGACTCGGGTAGATGAAATGTAGAGTCGTGCTCATTTTCCTGTGGCAAATCGCGCTGCACACGTTCATGGGATCGGTTCCGCGGCAGTTCCCACGGTCTGAATCTAATCAGCGTCGCAGCCGGCATTCGTCGGCCGCCTAAATGGGGCCCTGAGGCGCGATCGAGCGTCCGATCGGAGCCGGCCCAGTGGGACGCTTTCCACGAATCTGGCATGTCTGATACGGCGGTTGCAGCTCTGGTCTTGGTCCAGGCACACTTGGCCGGCGCAACGCCGCACCATGTATAAAGCTGCGCCCGCGCCAGATAGCACCGGCGGGTCCTATCTGCCTGGTTGTATTCTAGTACGTGCTCCACAACATCACTGCCACCTTTAACGGGCTTTCCACCCGCGCCCCCATCACATGCGGAGTGCTCCCAAGGTGACTGTCGTGCATAGGACGTCGGAACAGGAAGTTCGCAGCTATAGTGTCTCGCGCAGGGAGAGCGATACCGTCTTCCTCGTCAACGAGCGGCGGCGCGCCGTCCTCGCAGAGATAGACAGTGCTCGATTCTCGTACGTTTATTCATCATTGTCGTATGCATACATTCAATCCCATTCATCCCCACAGGTGGTTCCACTTGAAGGTCGCGTTTGTATCTGGTGCTGGATTCTTCACAGATGCGTCAGTCAAAATCGATCCTCGACCACGAGATGTAACTCACACAAGGTCGTTTTCTTCAGTTATGACATATTTGCCATCAACATCGTCGCAGCCATGATGGGCTATGTGTATGGCTCAGGCAAGTCAGCGATATCGGACCTTATCTTCGCATTCAGTGATCAACTTCATTACAGTCCAAGACCCAACTGTGAATGGCCTCGCCGGTCAATCACTGAGCGCTATGGAACAGCTCGGTCTCAAGGTCGCTACTCCCGCGGGGATCATTGTTGGACAACTTCTTTTTGGCTGGTTGGGTGATCTTCTGGGACGGAAGCGCATCTGTAGGTCCACATCACATTTAAGGTGACTCTATGTCTCATGCTCACACGCATAGACGGACTTGAATTGATGATCATGATCATCGGAACGTTCGGCCAAACTATTTCCGCGCCCAGCAATAGTGTCAATGTAGTTGGTATTCTCATCGTGTGGAGAGTCTTCGTGAGCATCGTGCACATCTCGACATGTACGTTGAGGCTCACTCACGGCCCTGCTTTGTTAGATGGGCATAGGGGTCGGGGGAGATTACCCTTTAAGTGCAGTGATCTCTTCTGAGTTCTCCTCAGTCCACATTCGTGGCCGTATCATGACCGCCGTTTTTGCAAACCAGGGATGGGGTCAACTTGGTGCGTGATCTCCGACGATATCGAGTGAATCGGCTTTTATGCCATTTATAGCCGCTACGATCACCTCCTGCGTGGTCGTCAGTGCATATAGAGATAGCCTTCTCAACGATGCACCCAATATCTTGAACAATATTGATCAGATGTGGCGTATCATCATCGGGCTAGGTTGTGTACCAGCAGTCGTCGCTCTTTACTTCCGTCTAACCATCCCAGAGACTCCCCGCTTTACTATGGACATTGAGCGAAACGTCCAGAAGGCTGCGCGTGACGTTGACGCATTTCTCGCCACAGAGACGTACACCGTATCTCCCGATGCTGCCATGCGTCGCCTGGAGACAAAGAGAGCCTCCAAGGAAGACTTCCGCTCATATTTTTCAAAGTGGAAGAACTTTAAGGTGCTCTTTGGGACTGCATACTCCTGGTTCGCTCTTGATGTGAGTATTACGCTGCAGTTTTATAACAAGTGCACCAACACGTATATTCGGTTCAGATTGCGGTCTACGGCCTTGGTCTGAATTCATCCATCATTCTCACAGCCATCGGCTTTGGGTCGCCAAGCAAAGACTTGATCGGAGCCGAATCCATCTTTGAGAACCTAAAAAACGTCTCCATTGGTAATCTAATTCTCTCTGTCGCTGGGTTCGTACCTGGCTACTGGGTCGCATTCCTTTTCATCGATCGCTGGGGAAGGAAGCCCATACAGATCATGGGATTCTCCTTGCTTTTCGTTCTGTTGGTAGCTATGGGTGAGTATGCTCCTTATACCTATGACGTGAGCTAAAGCGCTTGGATAGGATTTGCATACAAGACACTCATTTCTACATCTAAGGGAACGAACGTGTTCGTCTTCCTATATTGTCTCACCAATTTCTTCGAAAATTTTGGCCCTAACACAACCACGTTCATTATCCCTGGTGAAGCTTTCCCGACGCGATATCGTTCTACGGCCCATGGAATCTCTGCCGCCAGCGGCAAATTAGGCGCCGTGGTAGCACAAATAGGATTTCAATGGCTCAAGGACATTGGAGGCCCAAATGCATTCATAGACCATATGTGAGCTTGCACGTGATTTGTACTTTCATTTGTTACTAACGCATCATAATCTTCCAGACTGCAAATTTTTGGGTTTTTCATGCTTACAGGGATTATATCCACGCTCCTGATCCCCGAGACGAACCAAAGATCGCTGGAATCTCTCTCGAACGAAAGGCAAGACAATTTCTTCAAGGAGCCAGGTGGCGTATTCCATTAGTGTTATTATCGACTTACTCACTGAGACTTTGATGCTTGATAGATCCGTTCCAGCGAATGAGCAGACGAACATACCAAAACAGCTTCCCCATGCGTCCCATCAAGCTGACCCCGCTGGATACGATTCACGAGCCGTTTGGTGAATCAGAAAACCGCGTCATCGCACATAAATATTATTCCCCCAGTACATCGGAGGTTGCAATACCTCACTGAGTCACTCGTTTGGATACTGTGATAAAACTGCTTTGCTTGTAGAATTGCTTATTGTTGTAATTTATAGGGAACAATTGTGGGATGTGACTGGTATATTATGCAAGAGGACGTTACTACGTTTTGTATACTTTAGCAATTACAGCTGGATACCGGCGACCTATCATCAAGTTAGTGCGATAGAGCACTGCGGCTTCATTTGACCCGAACACATCGCTATTCGCGCTGCCCTTTTTCGTTACTGCTTGCCTGATCGATTCATTTTTCAAGCACGTTGTGAACATCTCGGAATTTATGCGCGGAGGAGCAGTGGCTGCACCTGCCCAATTAGAAGTCCTAGTAAGAGCTTGCTAGATTCGCGCCTGCCGCCGAACGCTGCCTACGTTCTCTGCGGAGCGCCGCCACATCAGCCAAGTCCATACGCTGGCGTCTTCCCTTTCCTCGTCGCCCAGCGTGCACATAGGGCGTCCCGACTCTTCTACATTAAACCAAAATAGTTTGCGGAGCGCATGATGAAGTCATTCTGGCCCATCCGCGCAGCCGGCGCCAAGACCCTGTAGCTCATTGCTATAACTTCGCTATCCAATAGACCTAGGGCTTTGTTGCTAAAACTACGACTTGCTTTATCTTAGATGTCTGAGGGTCAAACAAAAGTCGTCATCGCAGGTGCTAGCATCATAGGGCCCGTGCTAGCCAGCTCCCTCAGCCCAAGGGCTACGATCCCGTTGTCTACGAGCGTATAGACGAGCTCGCAGAGGTTGGACTCAGCCTCTGGTCAGTCCCAATATTCGATTCGTGCCCGTCGCCGAACCTAATATGTCTTCACAGCTTGCGGCCCAATGGGCTGCGCGTACTCTCTCTAGTCCCAGGTTTCCTCGACAGCATCGTTGGACAGCCGCTCGCGGATGATGCAGTGCGCCACCCTCTCGGAGAGGACACCGTGCTCTCTTCCACAGAGTACCTCGCACAGCTGCAGGGGGCGCCAGGCTTCAGCATGATTGGCGTGCGGCGCGCGCAGTTCAATCGCATGGTCGTCGAGGTCGCGCAGCGGCACGGGGTGCGTACCGTGACTCGTCTGGGGGCACCAGCTTGTCGAGCTCGAACAGCGCGAGGATGTAGTGGTCACGTTTGCGAACGGCACGACGGATACGGCGAGCTTTGTTATCGAGTGTGATGGCCTGCATAGCAATACTCGCATTTGCCTGTTTGGCCAGGAGCCGGTGGACTTTACGGGATTGGTGCAGGTGCGTGGAGGCTCAATTGACTAAGATTCTGTCCATAATCGCCTGGGGCTACAAACAGACAGATGGCATCTCTCCTACTCCGAAAGTCTTAAATGAGATTCCTACCGTGATAAATGTCTTTGGAAATGGTGCGCATATGATCAGCTATGCAGTTAGTGATATGCACTCTGCTTGGGCGTATGTGGTTCTTTACTTCAACAAACTGAGATATTAGATAGATCGCCAATGCGTAGTGTCAC